GAACCCGGGCCGCCGCGATGGGAAGCCAGCTACTAACCGCTTGAGCTATGGCGCGGCCTAGAAATAGTAATAATTCAATTCAATTCAATTTTCAATTCTTGGTTTTATTTACGTGCTGTACGCAACAGCTGGTAGCCAATTACAGAGTCAGCACGAGGACAAGTGAAACAATATACAGACAGATAATAATAATAACAATAATAATAATAATAATAATTCTACTGAGCTTATAAGCTGCTTCACAACAGTTGATAGGTCAATTACAGGCAAGCACTAGGAACAAATTAATAATAATAATAATAATGATATTGATAACAAAATTACTTTTAATTATAAACTGTCTGAAATGGAAGTTAAGTGTATTGATGGACAACGATGTTAGAGCTGTATTTTTTTACTGTCTTATTTAAAGACTCTGCCAATGTTTATGCCATACAGCGTCGACTGGTAGGATGACTAATGAATTATTATTCGAGAAGAGGTGGTTATGATGTAATCAGAGACCTATTCCTGAATTATCCTTGCGGACTGAGGTAACACACTTAAAATTTCATGTAGAACACCCGGTGTTCCGGCTGATATTCTAAGCAAACACTTCCGAATAGAGGTCTAGTGCGTTACCGCTACGTAAACCTGCTCTGCCTACATCTGTGTTCATGTCGATGTAACGAGATATCCCGTACTGGTATGCAGTCAGTTTTAATAATCGAACTTTCTTGAAGTTACAATAAGGAACGTGTTGGTATGAAGGAGAAAAATATTCATAGCACCATTGGTTACAGATAAATTTCTAAATTATACGTCGGACCTACTTTATAATTATAGATTCCATTTCATCCTCTTCGTTTAAGATCTCTGTCAGCCTATCCAGAGCGCAGGAGCCACGAGCGAGTTCTTAGTTACGAGGAAGCTTGTAATACTGATTAATGAGTCTGTGCAAAGCATAGGTCTCCACTATTTTAATCGTACAATTCGAAACTGGGGGGAGGGGGGGTGTACTGTTCAACGTGACGTCACAGTAGCTCCAATCAAATATTAACGTGCGACTAGAGATATCGAAAGGGGTGTAAGGAATAAAATCGTTAGGATACTTAAAATGTTCATACACTACCCCTCGGGCAACGAACTGTTCAAATGTCATTCTATTTCCTTCAGTTGTTTTAGGACGCTTCGGTATCTACACTGCTGGACATCGGCGTCCTTACGATACAAGCGATGAATCTTACATCTATTTTCTCCGTTTTGCATATGAACCTGCATTTCTCTCTCATGTGACATATTCCGATTATAATGTATTTTATTTCTGTTGTTTCAGCTTTCTACTATCAGCTCACCATGAAACATACCGACATTCCTTTTTTCTTAACATGTTTTCTTTCTAAGATCTAAAAATTTGTGACGATGGTAAATTGATACAATATATTTTTGGACATTATCCATCGTCTTGTCTGTTCTGAAAAAAAAAGTTCTGTTTCTTTTAAAAACACAACGTTTCGGGGACTGTATTCTGTCTCCGTCCTCAGGTAAAACCTACTCAGTTGGGTCCAATAGACAGATATTAGCTACCTCTGTCTATTGGACCCAACTGAGTAGGTTTTACCTGAGGACGGGGACAGAATCCAGTCTCTGAAACGTTGTGTTTTTAAAACAAACAGGACGGGTTCTTAAGAATAGACAAGATGGTGGATAATGTCCAAAAACATATTACTTGTAATGTTTTCTTTCTATTGTTTCAGCTTTCTGCTATAATCTCATGATGAAACATACCAACATTCCTTTTTTCTTAACGCGTTTTCTTTCTCTTGTTTCAGCTTTCTGCCCCGAGGTCTGAGATTCACAGATTTCTGAGCGGACTTACATCCACATCATCACATCACCAGTTAACATGAAAACTTCTCATTGCTTTGAGTCACGAGGTTTTGGTGAATGATGAGACAAATAAAGAATCTTATATCACAATACACACAGAACGTCTTATTAACCGATCAGACCCTGCTGAGTATCAAGACAGATTGTCGCCAACCTTCCAGTTTTGTATTTCTTTTGATTATATGAAAGAGATATACAAAAATGTTGGTATTGCAGTTCTCTGCTGGTATTGCGCTAACAAATCAACACATATGATTATGACCAATAAAGGCCACAGTTCAGCTGCAATTTGGAGAAAAAGAGACACAATGAGCCGGTCACTTTGCAGAGTGTTTAGAAGCTCATTAGTGTTTGTACTTCAGCGGTTACTTGTTGAGAACCAAAGAGGGCCTATTGAACTATAAGTTGATTGCAGAGTTTTACCATAGGACAGCTGCGTTGTTGATTTATTTATGTATATAATTTGGACAATGCACAATATTATTTTCTTGCTTGATTTGACGTCTAAATAATTATCAATTAATCAATATATTTTGCTATTTTATTCTGAATAAATTTAATATTGTCCAATAACCATCAATATATGAACTGTAACAATATGACAAGGATATGTGTATTTAACCTCTTCCTGTTTTGCTCCTTGAATATCTTCCCATCACCCCTAGGCTGATAATTTATATGATATAATTGCCATTGAACTCAGTTCTTCCTAATGAACGTTTTTTATAAAGTTCAACTTTCTTCGCAGATTAGGTCTGCTGTATTTCTTCTGTGGTATAAAAGGGTACGACTTTATATTACTCTCAGTGATTATTTCTGACTATTTTATTAACAGTAATTTTAAATATGTCATCGGTCTCACACACACACACACACACACATTAAGAGCTGAGAGGATATCATTGACAGTTAATAATCGGCTTTTGAAACTTACTAGTTCACTTTAAAAACATGTAGTGTCCCTATACAACTGTCCCTTGTTATAGAAAGTCTTGTATCTTATTGCCACTGTATTCAGGGATAGTTCGATAAGTCAAGGGGATCCTACCATACCTGAAATTTAATGTGGACTGAAATTTTAGTGTATCAGGCCCACCTATGTTCGATGTTATTATTTGCAAGTCTGTTAATGAAATGTATTAGAATATTTTGTATTATACGGTATTTAAAATTCACATCGTAGAAGGCCTTATTAGGAGTCGGGTTAGCGCAGTCAGTATAGCGAATGGCTACAGGCACAATGACGGGGGGGGGGGTCGGAGTTTGATTCCCGGTAGGGTCAAGAATATTCTCTTGTCGACGTCATCCAGACTGGCTCTGGGGCCCACCCAAACTCCTATCCAGTGGGTACCGGGTGTTATTTTACGTGGGAGGGTAAAGCGGCCGGGACGTGAATTTGACCACTCATTTTCAACCACTGCCGAGGTTAGGAAAACGTGGATCTATACATCCACTTTCCCATACGCCTTCATGGCGTTGTACTTAATTAGTTAAGCGTAGGGACAACTTCACGTAACTGTTACTGGGAGTAGAATTGAGTCACCATGTCCTGATGATACTTCTCATAATTATTATTACTCCGTTTGGAACTTTGACTTCAAAACAGTTTTACCTGAATGCATTCCTGAAGCTGTATTTGTAGTTCTATTAATGAGCAAGAACTTTATGACGGCAAGTTTGTAAATATTAGGAAATACAAGAAGCGAATTAGTTACACAACAAATAGTAAAATATATGGTAAAAATGTCCTCGAACATAGTGAAACCACGCTATGTGTATATATCCATGAATTGCCAACCTTGCCAGCAGAAGAAGGCGAGTAATGGATGTCACTGGGAAAGCTATTGTGCCGACCAAGTACTGAGTGAGCTACGATCGCTACGCTGGCCCCAACACTTGGTTAAATTGTGTTAAATTGCTTAGTCAATTCCACGGATAAGAGTGTAAAAACAGTCTGCGTGTACATCAACCGAAACTGTTGGATGAATTGAATGAAATGACAATATCGATAATCGATTATTCCATCGCGAGAACGAGACCAGTTCTTTTTCTAGCCGATACTAGTGTTTAACCAATTTCAAGTGATAGACGTGCTGTATTTTCTCAGGCAGTGTGCAATCTACAGTGTGCAGGGATGCTTATTATAATAATGTTAATTAGAATTAATACGTTAAGTCCATTTGTGGTTTTAATATAAATTGTGCCATGGTGTATATTATCGTCATTTCTAATGGAATCGTTACAAGGTGTCTGGCGAATTCTTCTTGAAGATTCTGGTAAGTAAAGGTTTTAAACCGGTTTCAAAATAGTTTCCAGTTCTTCAACAGTATTACTAGGAGGGGGGCGGATTATTTTAAATTCTTTAAATGTATCTGCAAGTGTGTGTATATATATATCCTTATGATCAAAATATTAACACGAGGACTCTGATGGTTTATTAAGGACATATAAGGCTTAATTTGTGAAATGACGTTTTGGAGTATCCTTGCAGAATTTCCTGTCATGTGTCAAAGTTTAAGTTTAAGCAGTTAACTCCGGATATCCATTTGCTTTCTATTGGATAAAGCCTTTGCTCCAGAATTAATAGATTCAATTCAATTCAATTCTTTACTATTAATGTGCCGAGTCAACAGCCGCAAGGCCAATTACAGACACAGCACAGTGCAGATGAATGAATTACATTATAGGCAAACTTATTAAAAATCAAATACAAATTACATGTAAGTACTTGGAAGAAATAATAATGAATAAAAGTAAAAGTAAACAAACAAATAGCTGATAATTATGACAGTAATAATAATTTCATTATCATTAAACTAAGTGTTACTATGAATTGAGGAACGAAACATAAATATTTAATTAAGAAATGAATAGTATAGATTTTCAGAGGATAATAATAATATACGTAATTCATTTTGTTTTACTGGACATGCAAATAATAAAAATACTAACATTTATACTATATTTAAAATTTGTTTGGGTAGAACATTCCTGGCTCCGAATACGTAAACATCCCTGCAGACAACATTAGCAGCTGCTGCGCATCTAGCAGAGGGACAATTTTTAAATAAGGAGCAAACATTGAACAATGCAAAATCTCTGATATACCGAGCAGGAACTCGGAGACCAACAATTTCTAGGGCAGAAGGGCAGAATTTAGAGCCAAAATAAACTTGAATAAGAAAGAGAGCATCAAGGCGATGTCTCCTAGTACATAAAGTATGCAATTTTAACTCCTCAAGAGCAAGAGAATAATTGTAATGAACTTGAGGAAAGGAACGATTAAAACAAAGGGCCGCAAACCTCTGCTAGATGCGTTCCAGCTTGTTGGCATCAGTTGACGTAATCGAATTCCAGACTACGGACGCATATTCAAGCTTAGACCTAACTAACGTAGTGTACAATCTGAACATACAGTCTAGCGAAGAGAAATTGTAGGTAATGTTACGAACTAGACCCAATAGTTTCGCACATTGAGAGAAAATGTAATTGACCTGCTCATGGAAATATAGCTTAGCATCAATAAACACTCCCAGGTCTTTTACAGAATCGGTCCGGGCTATTGACGTTTGAAAAAGTTTTAACTTAACTTTAAGTATATTAAAGTTACATATAGATATTTGGCCTATATCATGTTCTTCCTTCGTGTAATTAAAAAACTCATAATAGAATTTTAGGCTACATCGATCGCGAAAACGTATTGTAAATGATATAGGAAGAATAGATTTCATCGAAGCATATGCAAGTGTTGTACCCCAAGCAGTAATTCCCAATAGAATCGTATTTATCTTGAAAACATCATATTTATTCATAATGATCCCAATAATAAAATACAAATATTTTGTGTGTAACGTAAGAAATGTCGGGAAGGTATTAAGATAATTAACTGGTAAAAGTTTAAATCCGTATTTATTATTTTATTTCCTAAATTGAAATAAATTTTCTTAAAAATATTTGTCAACAAATGCCTAATTTACCATTCTGCTGCTGTGACACGAGATGCATACATACTTGTTTTATAAAATAGCCTATACTTAATTTATCAATGTGGAGTTCTGATGTCCGTCCACGTAAATAAAAATTATCCGAATTGAACGAGCCACAATCACTATCTTTTAATCGCTGTCCAAATTCGGACTCTGCGATCTTCGATACTGTGTTCATATTTTATATCTCCATTTCGATCTGTACCGTAATAGTACTTGTAAAGGGATTCTTTGCAGAGTCTTATCGCCATATATATATATATATCTTCAGTCTCTATTATCATTGGTGTTTATGTTTAATACACCGCATAGGATCCCAAGATGTTATTGTTGAGTTCGAAATTTGAAAATTCACAAATTGGGAGACACCTTGTGTCGTCCTGTTCATGCAGCTACACTCGGTTCTGTCAGTTATGTTTACAATGTTTATAATTCTAAGCGGGGGACATACGAGAATAATACGCAGCTGAGTAATGACGTAATACAGAATAAACCAAGGAAATCCGGTGCTGTAAATAATGCAGTCGATGAAGTAACGTTGACTCGTGGGAAAGCAGCCGCGCAGAAGCCTCAAAAGGAAACTGTGAGGATGATAGCTGGACCTTATAAGAATAGGTAATATACAGTAGAACTGGGTTAAACCGGCTGAGAAGAGTGTCTAATGCAAAGAATTAGCTGATTATAGGAAGGTCGCGTGAGGCCTTGCCGCAAATTGCTTGGACAGACTAGCGGGAGAGGCAAACGCTCATCACGTCAAATCGTGCGCGGGATCGGTCCCACAGCCCAGTCGACAAATCCACAAGACAAAAATAACAAAGCATCCTAGCAGTTGGTGGAGATGGTTCCTATTGTTACTCACGCTTTTCTTGCATCTCCATATTCATTCACGGGGTGAAGTTCACTATGGAAGACGGAGCGAACCCGAAACCTATGTCGTCTGTACAAGGCGCCTACTGGATATTCGAGGCAAATATTCATGCCTAGTCCAGTTTTCATCCAAGCCCTCATTACTGAACTTTCAGCGTGTTGATTCGGCTCTTTGCTATATGGTAAGGACTCTGCCTATTTTTTTTAATTCGCTAATGGGGGGGGGGAGTCCAACTGGGTCCATTCGGCACGGCGGCCACTGATTGGCCAATTGTAGCCCGCCCCGGGTGATTATGATGATGGAGAATTTGAATGAATGAAGATTGGCAGGGGAAACCGAAGTACTCGGAGAAAGCCTGCCCCAGCGCCACTTTGTCCACCACAAATCCCACTTGACCAGACCCGGGATCGCACCCGGGCCGCCGCTGTGAGAAGCCAGCGAGTAACAGCTTGAGATATCTCGCGGATATGGACCCTGCCTATCTAATTTATTTCTGATCACGTGAAGAGTTTTTTGTTCTGTTTGGACGGGTAACATCCAAAGATTTAAACCTAAACTTTTCCCTACTTCTCACATGTGTATGTTGCTTGAACACGCATTACAGTGTGTGACTATAACGTAGAATTTTGACAATAGGAGTAAAGCGATTGCTTGAGTGTTTAATATAGTAGCAGAAGCTTGGGATCATACTCAACAGGACCATAGCACACAATTTCATTTCGCAGCAGGATTTACGTATTAACACGATATTGAAGAATAAATTGCAGTTCTAAACGGTTCTGACGATGGTGTATAACACTCAGATTTACTTGGGTTTTTGGATTCTGTCCATCGTCCGATATTCTAAAAACGAGAGAACACAACGTTTCGGAAGCTCTGTTTCCGTCCTCAGGTGATGGGGAGACACCCTTTTGGATTCCATAGAAAGAGTTCAGTGATTGATGTTAGCTCTTTCTAAGAAACCCAACAGAGTAAGCGTCTCACCCCTCACCTGAGGACGGAAACATATCCAGTTTTCGAAACGGTATGTTATCTAGTTTTTAAAATACAGGACGATGGACAAATTCCAAAAACCCAACAATTCTGAGAGAAATTGTAATATGTATAGACTATTGACCTTTCGACTAGGCCCAGAGTCCCAACGCGCAGTGCGAGATGATGCGAATAGCGTGTGTGCTTCCCGCTCGACCGGCCGAACGGTTTTCGTAAAGCAGTCAAACGACCTCCTCCTATATGAAGCGGAGCCCATTTGAGAAGGCAATGGTCTCTCATTCAAGAAACTCGTCGCCCTTAATGGAGCACGTAGCTTAATTACGGCGTGTCCAACAATATACTTGAATCCAATCCACATCCTCAAGCTCTATTTCTTTAACCTGTATTTATTATATTTTCATGTACGCCTATGTTCTCCAAGTTTTCCCTTCAGACTTTTCGACTAAAATCCCGTATTTATTGCCCATCGTTTCCCGTTCGTTCTGCACGGCCATCTCATCCTTCTGGGTGCTGTTACGCTAACAATAGTTGGCGAAGAGTACAAAATATGGAGTTTTCCATTATGCTCTATTCTCCAATCCGTTGTTACTTTGCCCTTCTTGGGTCCGAATAATCTCTCAGCTCTGCTTTTGGTATTGACAGTCTGGTTGTGTTAGCGGAGGCTTATGTGAAAAACAATATAAGAGTCCACGTTTCACTGACCAGGCAAAATAGAAATTTCGCATGCCAGATTGTTGCGTAATAAAAGTGAAGTTACGCATCGCCGAGTTCTAGCTGCGGTGGTCAGAACATGGGTCATTGACCATACAGACTGAAGGCGACCTCAAATTACAGCTGCTGTCATAACAGCACATTTCAAAGTGTTCATTCTTAAGGCGCATTTGATTAGATGCATATTCTCGATATCTTTTCTTAATGCAGTGCATGCAGGTTGCATACCTATATCTCTACTGCGGCTGTAGTAATATGAGGCACAACAGACACAACGGAAAAGTATCGATACTCGCAGGACATACGTGTAAAAGACAACTATCGATACTGGCAGGACATAACAGACGAGTATTGATACTTGCAGGACTCAGTTGGCAAGTGTCGATAATCGTAAGACACAACTGACAGATATCGATGCTTGTAAAATCATATTTTCTCAGGCCGATTAATTTAAATAGTCTTCGCGGCAGATCAACCGCGTGAATATAGAACATACCTTTGACATTTCCATCAATTGGAATATGACACAAATGTGCCTGCTTTGAACATTTCACCAACAAGCAGTTTTTTCCGTGAGGTGCGACCCGAGTCTATAAAACGAGAAACCAACAATAATTGACAGTTGAGTTGGAGGTTCAGCTATGGAGTGTTATTATTATTATTATTATTATTGGAGGGGGTGGGTTTCCCCATGCACTGCGACTAATAGTCTATTGTA